TTAATCTTAGTACTATTAATTCGTAATAGTACATTATTTTGTTAAACCCCCACACATTGTTTCTATTCAAAAAACGGAGTACTTAAGTACAGCTTTTACACAATAGTACTAGTTTGGTCAGGGCAGTTGCCTATTATAATTATATTTCATGTTTTTTTATAATTCCACAAAGTGTGTTTGTCGTTTTTTTTTTTAACTGTTAATATTAAATACATACATGTTTGTAATGTTTACATTATCAAAAAAAAAAATTTTATATGTTTTATAAGTATTGTCACTATTCCTTTGACTTGTCAAAAACAAAACTATTTTTGTATATTGATTAAATAAATTCTATTCTATTCTATTCTATATATATATATATATATATATATAATATATATATATATATAATATATTATATATATATATATAATATATATATATATATATATATATATCTACTGATAATTAATTAAAAGTTTAATCAAAAATGAATCCCCTTAAGAATCCGCCAATGTATATATAGTTGCTTAAGACTTAGACTATTACCCGTCGCTATCGCGACAACGCTTTAGTGACATAATATAACTATGATGATGTGTATGCACTAGTTGTAACGGTTAACGGTTAAACGTGCAGACGGTAATGGATCCTAGAAAATCGCTGGTTCTTCGCGGAAATGTTCACGTTATTTGATGAAAATTCTGAGAACAACAACGATGTTAGTCGGTTGTTATGGAATCTTGAAACTGCGACTAGTGGGAGCGCTGTATCTAGTAAACAAGATTGCTTATTAACAGGTTTTTGGAGATAACGAGACTTTCATGACATTTTAGAGATACAGGGTGAAGATAATAGATGAAATGTCTCAATTACTTCGTGTAGAGTATTAATGAAATTTGGTAAATATAGCTAATGTTATATGAAGTTGTTCTAAAAAGAAAGGCAACAGAAATTTCTTTCACAGATTTTTATACAGGATTGGCGGACGAGAACAAAACAGGCAAAAAAGATGTGAATTTTTAAAAAATCTGTGATGTGAGTCTTAGAATATCAGAAACAATGAAAATATTTTTAAGAAATCCAACGAAACGTCGATTTTTGATTAATAGGGGACATATTTTTCTGAGGACTGATATGTGTTAGATCGCGGCTGCTGTATGTCTGATATAAAGTTGCTTCTTCTATACGTCTGCTATGCGTCTAATGTACGTCTGATATACGTCTGATATGCATCTGCTATATGTCTGATATCAGTTAGAACGCGTTTGCTATACGTCTCATATGCGTTAGATAGCGTTAGGTATACGTCTGCTATATATTCGATCGCGTTAGATATCTGTATGCATTACTGTGAAGATTATATAGTAGATGAATGTTGGTTTGGTCATAGTGTATGAATGGTAAACGTTTCTATTCGTTTTATTTCCGGCGATAGCCGCTGCTGTACGTTATATTCATTTTGATACCTCATACGCAGTTGTCGGGCCAATAGACCTGAGATATGTTGTAATGTCGTTTTTATGATGTTTTTATTGCTTGTGTTTCATCTCCATGTATTCGTTACCCCCTCCTCTTTCATTTGACGCCTCATAAATTGCAACCGGACCAATAGACCCGGAGATACGTTATAGTGCCGTTTTTGACATTGATTTTGTTTCTTGTTTTCGTCTTGACATCTTCGTTACCCCCTCCTCTTTAGTTTGATACCTTATACGTTGCAATCGGACCAATAGATTCGGAGATACAATATAGTGCCGTTTTGGCATTGATTTTGTTTCTTGTTTTTGTCTTGACATATTTCCCACCTTAAAAGTGTGGATTCCAAAAGGGCTACAGTACAGCGAATCATCTTCTTACGGTCAGAACGCTAATAGAGAAAGCCAATGAATATCTCTTGAACTTATAAATTGGCTTCGGTGACTATGAAAAAGCATTGGACTCCATAGAACTTTGGGTAATAGAGAGAGCTATGAACAACTGCAGGATAGACTCCCGATACATAATGCTCATACATAATATTTGCAAGAAAGCTACAATGATAATACAAATAGATGCGAAAACCAAAGCTACTGTCATCGCCAGCTAACTTGGCGGTGCGCACAAACCCAAAATTGCTTAGTGGCTAGGTGGTGGTCTTTAGTCTCCTCCCAGTTATCAGGTGCGTAACACTTAAGTGATTTGCGGCTATTATTTTTCAGACTTCTTATTATTTCGGATAGTTAAGTGTATTTGTGACAATTTCTAACGATGGCATTGAAAAATAGTAGAAAAAATAATTCTGTTATTAGTGGAGAATCTCGGGAGATTATATTTAATGTGTTTATCAGTTATCAGGTGCGTAACACTTAAGTGATTTGCGGCTATTATTTTTCAGACTTCTTATTATTTCGGATAGTTAAGTGTATTTGTGACAATTTCTAACGATGGCGTTGAAAAATAGTAGAAAAAATAATTCTGTTATTAGTGGAGAATCTCGGGAGATTATATTTAATGTGTTTAATTATTTCAAAAGCGACATTCGCAGAATAATTTACGATTTTTATAAAACAGAAAAATGTCGGGTTACGGTAAAAAAATTAAAACAAAAAATTCACAACGATTTGGATATCACAATTTCACAAACATCTTTAAGGCGACTTCTACGCAAAATGCAATTTCGTTGGAGGAAAACCGAAAACAACTGAAAAGTGCTTGTAGAAAAAAGTGCAATAAGAGCTTTGAGAATAAAATATCTCAGGCAAATCAAATATTTTCGGAGTCAAAATAGGCCAATCGTGTATGTTGACGAGACCTACTTACACAGCGGTCATACTTCTTCAAAGAACTGGACTGACGAATCAACCAAGGGCTTATTTTCAAATATTTCCAAAAGTCAACGACTAATAATAGTGCATGCCGGTGGGGATATGGGATTCATAAAAAATGGCTTATTAATCTTTAAATCAGGTTCAAAATCAGGGGATTACCACTCTGAAATGAATTCAGACAACTATGGAAAGTGGTTACAAGAACATTTATTACCTAATTTACCTGCTATTATCGGTATTAGTTTTTGATAACGCACCTTATCACAGCATTCAGTTGGAGCGGGCGCCTACATCAAACTCAAACAAAAATCAAATGATAGAATGGTTAATGCAGAAAAATATTTCATTTACACCTAGTGCTTTAAAACCTGAACTGTATGAAATAATTAAATATCATAAACCTCATCATGTAAAATACAAATTCGACGAAATTCTACGTGCGCATGGCCATATTCCTTTACGTTTACCTCCTTACCATCCTGACCTAAACCCTATTGAACTAATATGGGCTACAGTCAAAAATAATATGAGGCAGAAAAACGTTACATTTAAGCTAGCTGACGTACAAAAACTCGCCGAGGAAGAATTCACTAATATTGATGCAAATGAGTGGAGAAAACGATGTTACCATGTCATTAAGAAGGAAGATGAGTATATGGACAGCGAGATAGTTGCTGATAACGCCACGCAAATAGCTCCAATTATTATAAATCTTGACAGTGACTCTTCCAGTACAGAGTTTTCTTCTTCCAAAGATGAAAATGAAGAAAATAATTAACAATCCATTTATTTTCAAATAGATACCACTTTTCAACACGGGTACTTGTTTTAGTATTATAATAAAACCAAAATATTAAAATTAAATAATTACTGTGTTGCATTTATTTATACAATATCCTCCATTTAATTTGAAACACAATATCAACGTAGATTTGTGAATTAAATTCAGTCATTATTGTATAATTTGTTTACTAAGTTAAATAAATATTATAAACCAATGGCTTACTATTTAAATTAAATAAACCAAAATTACAATTTCATCTTTCTAATAATATATTAAAGCTTGCGAAAAATATTACTTTTTTATAATTGTGTAATAATTATTTGACCTATACCGCTACGCTACTGAATATACTTATCAGAAATAGTAAACCAATAGGATGAATCATAGGGCGTAAACATAATTTATTTCTCTGTGACGTTCTGCGTACTCTCTCGCCAAGTTAGCTGGCGATGATTGTACACCAATCAACAGAGGAGTTCGTTAGGGAGATGTTAAGACATTAACTGGGCAGATAAAGGAATAAATGTTAATGGAAGAAAACTGAGTCATTTGAGATAGGCTGAAGACATTGTAATATTCACTACAAGTTTCGAAGAACTACAGACCCTGATTATGCAACCATTGCAAGCTTCGGAAAAAGTAGGTCTTAAGGTAAACTTGAAAAAACAAAAATAATGACAAATACGTCGAACATATTAGAGAAATAACGTTAAATGACATAAATTTAGAAACAGTAAGCGAATACATCTATCTGTGACAGATAATGAAAGTTAACAAAGGAAGTCAAACTGCCAAAATTACCAGAAGAATAAGGTTAGCGTGGCAGGATTTGGAAAACTGAGTTGGATCTTGAAAAGCACTAAAATAGAAAAATATTTGAAAATCAGAATTTACGATCAGTGTATCATCCCTATAATCACGTATAGTTCACAGACGTGGACATTTACCCAAATCTAATATGGATAAAATAGTAAAGGCACAAAGAGCAATGGAAAGATCAATACTCGGAGTGAGACTTATAGACAAAAAAACAAATACATGGATTAGAAGCAAAACCAAAGTAAAAGACGCGAAGGAACATGCTGCCAGATTAAAATGGAGCTTCGCAGGACACAATACCCGATTACTTAAGGCTGAAGAAGAACAAGAAAAAGGTATACAGCCAACTATAGGTATTTCATTTTCCTTGTGGATATATTTTTACTTTTAACACTGGATTGCTTTGGGGGAGGCCTATGTCCACAGTTGGATTACTTAAAGCTGAAGAAGAACAAGAAAAATGTATACAGCCAACTATAGGTATTTCATTTTCCTTGTGGATTTATTTTTACTTTTTGTACTATGTATTATATGTATGCACAGTTTTGTTTAACAAAAATCTTTAATATCCAGTTGCTAGGAAGTAAAAACAGGAAAAAACTTACCCTAACATCAATATCCTTGACCTTCTCCATATACCTCATGATAGCTGTCGATATTTTATAATCCAAATTCCGAATAACCGCATCTATGTTAGCATCAGCGTCATTGCTACTTCTTTTCATGGCGTTAACTAAACTTTCGATTCCTTCCACGAACCCGTTCCAAGGCAAATCCAGCTCAGCCACGTATTTCGTAATGCAACCTCTTAAAACGTTGAGGCAATATCCACTGCAAGGTTTGGTGTGTTTCCAAAGACCCAAGCATTTGGGACAGTACGTCATTTTGAGTAAAGCATCATGACATTCTGAATTGTCACTGCTGTGTTCATCAATGAGCAACGTGTCAGTTGTGTTTAATACTTCGGAACCTATCCTGAAAGCTTGCAAAAGTAACCTAGTTGCTTCTAGGCTTTTCGACAAAGACAATCCGATTTGTTTGGGGATATCTCCGAAGGGTGATATGTTTTCAATTGACTTTTTAAGACAGTCTTTATAATTCGGTGTCAAGTCTTTATCGGATATGTCAGCAGAGTGACGGTATGCTAACGGGAACAATTCTTCAAAGAACACGTTCACGCTATTAACGATTTCTTCGGGACTGACTGTCGGTTTTGCATCAGTCGTGTTTATCCAGATATAATTTCTAATATCTGTGTAGAGAGTCTCGATTGGTTGGCGCGATACACTCGCCAATTTTCTGTAGACCTGTAAAAACAGGAGCAGAGTTTTGTTTTCCGACTGCCGAGCCAGCTCTGAGACGTGATCTGAAAAACAAAGAAACATAATTTAAATATTTATTCAACATAAGGTCTTCTTTATGATTACTAAGGTAGAAAAAATGGTTTACAAATATTATATCTTAGTTTTCTTGTATAGTCTGACACAAAAATATTGTAACTTTAATAATAAATACTTCTGATACACGTTTTGAATGACATTAGGGTGCTAAATTATAAAACTTAATTTATGTTAATTTAGCATAGACTACATTATCCAACAAAATATTTTGTAGACAGTTTTAAATATGGGGCTATATGGAACTGTTTAAATGTTAAATCGGTTTATTTTTATAGGATCAACCCTATTATAAAAAAATTGTTAAAACAATCAAGCAATATCTAATCTTACAACTCTCAAAATAAATGAAGAACCATACATAACAACTTGCATTCTATTGATTTAAACTTTTTCTCTAATTTGTTTCTTAAATTAAACTTGCCGTAAATTTACATATCATTAACTAATGATTTTGCCTGTCACCATGCGACGGTGGGTCCACTCAATTGCATCTACATTCACTTCTTTATCCACACTTAGTTTTTTCAGTCTCCCTTCTATTTAAGACTAGAATGACAACAGAATAATATTTTAATCTGTTGTACAACTTTTATAACAAATAAATCACTTTTGGAGAGTCGCTGAAATTATCGCGTAAAGTCATCTTATTAAATTGACCTACCTACAAAATCAGCGTAATTCTAGTTTGGCAACTTATTTATTGGAAAAGCTCGAGCTTTGTATTATATTTTTTACCGATCACAAAATTCGCAGCCAATTTTTTAGGATCAACAAAATTTTTAAAAGAGTTAAAAATTATATTGTTCTAAAGCTATTTTCTTGTGGCATTTTAAATTAATTACTATTTAACTGGGAATAAGCCACAATTACATGGTAAAAATACGTTTATTGACGTTTCAATTTCCACTTCGGAAATCGTTCTTAAAATGCCACAAGAAAATAGCTTTAGAATCATGATATAAGGAAACAAGGTATGCTCACTAGGTGGACTCGTTTTTGCATATTTTTGCGCCGACCAAAATCCACCATCTTTTCAATATGTTACATGCGTGTCGGGATGGTGACCTGATCCCGTACCAGTTACTTTGGAACATGTATTTTATTTATACTTGTGGAACTGATCCCTAACACCAATATATTATAATAAACGAGTACGGGTTTCATTGCATTTGTCCTTAATTTTTATCGTGCATTTCTCAACGTTTACAAAGCTTTAGATAAATATCAACAGATGACAATTGGCGTGAAGTAGACAAAACTATCGCCATTTTTTTATGAACTTTTTATACAATCTCTGAATAACAGTAATTTAAGTATTTGAAGTTTTACAGTCATTTAAATAACTATAAAGAAATCTAACAAAATACAAATAATGTTGTCGTTATGTTTAGATATCTATTAAACGAATAATAACAAACTGATTTCCAAACCAGTATTTTTTAACAGGTATATTTGTTTACGCGTATCAGTTTGACCTGATCCACAAAAATACTTGGATCAACCACCTCTACATGCTTGACGTCTGCTTTGTTTTGCATTTTTTAACCTTACTTTGCAATGTATTGGAATTTAAAAGTAAATTTGTTTCGATTTTTTAAAATTATTTTAGCAAGAGTCTGTTCAGATCATTTTATATCTGAATTAATTGGATTAATGTAGAATATTAATTTTATTTTATTTATTTTAACTACGATATTTTTTTATCAAATTTGTACATATTTGAATTGCCGCCTTCAAAATGGCGGATTTTGGTCGTAAACGCGATTGGCTGTTCAAAATAGATGCGCGTGAGCATACCATGTTTCCTTATATCATGTTTAGAATAATATTAAGAAACCGTTATGGGCCCAGCGTTATTCAAAATTTTCGGAGATTGGAAATTCTATACAAGAAACTGGCACATTGTCAAAATTCAATTAAATTTTTACGAAGATGTGGAGACAATAACCTAATACCAAAGGGCTTGAAGATACGTCCAGCATATTCAAGCAGATGGTTGGAAAACATTCTACATAGAGCCAGTTTGTCCATGATCCGAGAAAGGTTACATAACGATTTCCAAAGTGGAAATTGAAACGTCAATAAACGTATTTTTACCTTTAATTGTGGCTTATTCCCAGTTGTCCCAGTGTGTCAAGTACTTGACACACTTTCGAACGAATTTCATCCAGAACGGGGTGTCAGACAAGGATGTATACTATCTCCACAATTATTCAACATATATGGGGAGTATATTATGCGAAGAGCACTTGAAGGATGGGAAAAGGGCATCTCAATAAATGGTCATAAACTAAACAACCTACGTTTTGCAGATAACACAGCCCTTCTTGCAAATAGTCAAGCAGAGCTGATAGAACTTATACGACTGATCGAAAACGAAAGTCAAATATTTGGTCTGCAATTAAACATATCAAAGACAAAGATCATGATAGTGGATAGACTACACAAACATTCATCCACACATAACCACAATTGACCGGTTCAAGGTTGTGAGCTCATACTTATATCTGCGATCATTAATCACAAATACAGGGTCATTACAAGAAGAGATTAAACGTAAATGTGATCTAGCAAAAGTTGCCACAGCAAAAATGACCAAAATATGGAAGGACTGTCAAATTTCAAGAGCGATAAAGATGAGGTTGATCAACTGCTTAATATTCCCAATACTGACCTACGGATGTGAATCTTGGACTCTGAGACAATCGGAGAGAAGAAAGATAGACGCCAATGGAATGTTCTGTTGGAGACGAATGTTACGAATTCCTTGGACCGACCGTAGAACAAATAATTCAATTTCAAGAGAGCTAAAAGTTAGCCAACGACTCTCTAGTAAAGTCCATCTCCAACAATTAAAATATTTTGGGCATGTTATGAGAGCAAACACAGAAAACATGGAAAGACTCATAATACAAAGAAAGGTAGAAGGTCCGAAGATCACGAGGAAGATCCCCAACAAGATGGATAGATCAAATTACAGGAATATGCCAAAGACCTATGCATGAATTAAAAGAAATGACCAGAGACAGAGATCTCTGGAGACGGACAATACACAACATCACGTCGACCACTACACTCCCCCTGGGGGGTCAGGATTGAAGAGAGAGATTCCCAGTTAAATAGTAATTAAGTTGAAAATTAATTTTTAAAATAATAAATTTCTTTAGGGCCGGTCTGTTCACCTCCCGATAAATATTGTCCTATTTGACAGATAATTATCTGAAGGATAGACATTTATTTATAATTGTCTCTTTCACAAAAATGTTTTAATGTTAAAAGTACGAGAACAACTAGGAAAGAAAATAAACGACATTAACGAGAACAGGTCGGACATAATACAGAGATGGGATAAATCAAACAACATGCACGACTCTCTTAAAGCGTAACAGAAAGAAGAAGAAAGAATGGATGTCTGATGAGATAATAGATATGATGGATAAAAGACGTAAATTCAAGAATAAAAATGCAGAAAAATACCACAAAATTATGAGAACGAAAATTCGAGAAGCCAAAGAAAAATAGTTTTCCAACGAATGCAGGGAAATAGAACAATACGAACGGAAATACGACAGTTACAATATGCACAAAAAATAAAATCAATGACAAACAAGAGGAAATTCAATAAGTTACCCAAGAACATAAAAGATAGCGATGGAAATCTTATCTCGGAGCCATTAACGATCTTAGAAACATGGAAATCATACATAGAAAAATTATTTGCATCTGACAGGACTGATGATCAACTATATGGAGAAGGAGAAACAGATCCTTCAATCCTTAAATCGGAGATAGAAGATGCCATTGCGGCACTAAAAAACAATAAGTCAGCAGGTTCGGATAATGTAACCTGCGAAATATTGAAGATCCTATGTAAATCAAACAAACAGTTTCTTGATAATCTAGTTGTGCTTTTTAACACCATATATAATAGCGGTAAAAATCCCGGAGAACTGGCTGCAGTCAACATTTATGCCGACGATACGGTGATCCTTGCCAGTACCATAGACAAATTACAACAGGTAATGGAAAGGGTTTATTCAATTAGTGAGGAATACGGTCTGAACTTCAACTTCAAGAAGACAAAGTGGATGATGATAAGCAAAACGCAACAACCTGCTAGACAATTACGGATAAGTAACATACTAATTGACCATGTAGAATCTTATATATGTGTACCTTGGCACCAACGTAAATACAAAATGGGAACAGGCCACAGAAATTAAGGCGAGAATAGAACGAGCCAGAGCAGCATTTAACAATATGAAAAATAATCCCTCATAAGCAAGGTTTTGTCTCGTCCCCTACTAAATTACGTCTAGTTAAATGCTACATCTTTCCGATCTTACTATATGGTATGGAGACCTAGACGCTGACAGAGAAAACTAGAAGCATTCGAAATGTGAGTACCGACGCATTCTTCGTATATTTTGGACCAAACATGTCACCAACACAGAGGTAATCCAAAGAATCAGAAAGGAGAAAGAAATCGTGAGCACAATAAAACAAAGAAAGCTTGAGGCCACATATTGAGACACGATAAGTACCGTCTGTCTACTGCAATTGATTGTCCAGGGGAAAATAGACAGTAAGCGAAGGTCATGCAGGAGAAGACACTCGTGCGCCGCAAACAAGATCAGAATTGCTATGCTAATAGCCAACGTTCGCAACGGATAGGGCACTTGAAGAAGAAGAAGAGTCTTTTTTATATATAATTGAATGTATTTGTAATATCAGATACTAATAAGGATATAAAAAATTTTGCATGCCAAGGTTTAGAAACGTGATTTATTAACATTAAAGGATATTTAAAAAAACAGACCATCAGTGGAATACTGGGGCAATACCAAATATATAAACCGAATATCAAAGAAGTCTCTAAAAAGAATATCGTCTTCCCTGCACTCATTAATTTCATAAAAATGTTTTTGTGTTCTCTTTTTTTTTAATTTTTGTTTTATGTCTTGTA